ATAGCAGTTCAGATAAAATGGGAATATATTAAAATTGAGTTCATCAGTTCAGTTTAACAAACTGCTATACATTCAGGTACCGTGACAGGCACTGGGGATTAAGACTTGAATACAAGCTTCTTGATATTAGGAATTCTGTGCTATGCTTTTTTTATCTTAAGCAACCAGTGTAGTACTTGGCACATAGTAACCGTACAGTGAATAGATTCTGAATGAACAAATGATGTAGAAATAAGGTAATAGCAGAGAATTTCTTAATTCATAGAACTAATTGTTCATTTGTAGTCCTGTTTTTATTTTCTTATATGTGTAAGGTGAATTGCTATTGTAAAATTGATTCAGTACTTTCATGGTATTCTCCCTGAGGGAGCTTTCTATTAAATGGCCTAAATTACATTCATTCCACAGTGTTAGAGTTTCATCTCTAATGTATTCAACATGGAGTATTTTTATCTATATATGAAGATACTTCAAAAGGATTGTGGAAAAATAAAATTAAAAGATAGCACAAAGAAAGAAAAAAAGAAAGATATAATCACAATAATATGTATAACTTTCAAAAGGAGAGAACAGAACTGTTGTTATTAGAGGTGGGAAAGGGGGGCAGGTAGGAGGCTTAGTGAGAAATTGGTTAAGGGTCACAAAGAATGATTACGTTTTGTAAAGATGAGTATACTAATTATCCTGGTTTGATCATCACATATTGTACACAGGTATTGTTAGTCAACTCTGTACCCCACAACCCTGTGTAATCAATTATGTTTTGGCACAAAGAATGATTACGTTTTGTAAAGATGAGTATACTAATTATCCTGGTTTGATCATCACAAATTGTACACAGGTATTGTTAGTCAACTCTGTACCCCACAACCCTGTGTAATCAATTATGTTTTGATACAAAAAAGATAATACAAATCTTTCCATAAACTTTTTGAAACACAAACATTTTAGAATTTATTTGAAAATATATTTTGCAAGGAAAACATTTTCCTTTCTATTGTTTTGTATTGACTATAAATATTACTCCTATTCTTTTATTATGAATCCTTAGGGATTATTAAATTCAAATTAAGACTAACTTGAAAATCATATTTTTAATACATATGTTCATTTTTCTTTTTCCATAGGGATGACAGTAAGTGCTAATAAAGATGGCTTGGGGATGATCGTTCGAAGCATTATTCATGGTGGTGCCATTAGTCGAGATGGCCGGATTGCTGTTGGGGACTGCATCTTGTCCATTAATGAAGAATCAACCATCAGTTTAACCAATGCCCAGGCACGAGCCATGTTGAGAAGACATTCTCTCATTGGGCCTGACATAAAGTAAGTATCTTTGGACTCCAGTTTGACTTGGGAAATTCAAGAATTTCAATTAATTAGACCAGAATTTTTTTCGGTATGTACTTCTATTTGGTATACAAAAGTTACCATATATTTATTTAACATAAATCACTCGAGAATTTAACTAGTATTTCTGAATAGTTCTTGACTGCAGGTAGTCTCTTTAAGACTATAACAATGTTGAAATTTTGATAACAGTTGCTTTGTATTTTTAATTTTACTTCTCCAGTGATTTCTACAACAACCCTAGGACATCTCCACAGAGCAGGAGAGTCCACTCTTAGGATCTTAGAAAGAAGTTTGGATTGGCTTCAGTATAAGGAATTGTGTGCACACTACCTAACTGACCTGTATGAATCTTAGAACCAAGCCAGTTCTTTAAGAGCCAAGCATGGAAAAAGACTATATAGAATGGTGCCTGTCTGGCCCGTGATTTACCCTTTCTTGAACTACCTCATGACCCAAAGAGATTTACCAATATATTGGTGTAGTCTGATTATAGGTCATACAGGATATTTTGTCAGGAAATGCTTAAAATTTCCCATTATCCCATAATATATTAAAAGCACATCATATACATGGTTTGACTTTAAGTCACTAAACATTTTTTTTGAGCCAACATAAAAATCAGTTTATGACTTTATTGTCACACCTCATCAGTGTGGCTTTTCTTTCTTACATTAATCCTTGAATATTTTTATTTAATGTGTAAGGGATAAATTCATAAAATAAAAGTTCAGGGAAAGATTGTTTACCTTAAATTGATGTAATGATTACTGGTACAGGAGACTTTTTTGTATTAACATTATTTTTACTGACTGCATTCTGTATTACTAGCTCTTTATCAAAGTGCATGTTGCTAGGGCTTTGATAAGAAAAGCTATATTTACACTCTCTTTCATTCTGTTGTCAATAAAAAATAAAATATATGCCATTTTGAGTGTATTCTGTTGTCTTATAGAATAGAGGTGTTATTTTTAGGCAGAGTCTTCACTAGTGGGTTTTCCTATTTTTGCATGCCTTTTTGACTTTTATTTTACAATTGAGTAACATCTAAGTAACATTAGATCATGTTACTGTTCTTTAATTAAATAACGCAAATACAAGTGAACAACATTAAAAATGTTGGTCCCTTAATCTTAAGAACAAGGAGAAACTTTAACTGTTTTCCTCACCACTTGTGGCCTTCCTTTTGCTTAAAAGATGAATGATATGGATCCATATGGAGACTATTACAAGGGTTTTAGCTTACATAGATTAAATGTAGTATAAAATGTACATGGTCTAGTAACTGACCATTTGATTTATTATGCCATGATGTGTGTGTTATGCTCTGTGCACTGATACAGGTCCCCTGCCAGTTTTTGACACTCTGAGCACCAAAGTCAGTGCTTAGTGGTGATACCCTCAGTTCTAAAGTGCTGGAGAACTTTAAAAATGAGCAAAAAATAAGGCGCGTGTATGTGTGTGTGTGTGCGCGTGAGTGTGTGTGTGTGTGT